GTGACACATCGAGAGATTCAGGGATGTAAACCCTTTGCAAATTCTATTCTGTTTCAATATACACATGGTGTTTGTATGATTATAATATTAACTCTTAGCATTTCTGCCATCTTGAATTTGCGAAATTGGTCAATTGTACACATAGTTAGAATGAAAGCTGCATCCAACTGCACTGGACCAATGTATATTTGATGACTGTGCTTGGTTGCTATCTCACAAACTAATGTTTAAAGACTCAAAAACAGAATTTCTTATAATCGGTACACTTCAACAACTTTCGAAAATATCAAGTCCAATGAATTCAGAGAGTACTTAATGCTGCTGCCAGATTAATTCATCATTGTCCAATATTCTCAAACATTACTCCAATATTGATTGTACTTCACTGGCTACCAGTAAAATATCAGTGTGCTGGTTACTGTATATTAAAATGGTACAAGTTCTCCTGTTATTCGTCCTACCAAAGAAAACGACTGGCAATTACACTTGTCTGCTGTTTGTTCCATGTTGCCTTGGTTTTTTGTTGCTGATCAGGTCAATTATGTCATATTCGGCTCCATGTATTGGTTGCAGATGATTTCTTTGGATAACACACATCCAGGTAAAACTGGGACAGTGTTGTCATGATTTCTTTCCCCACAAAAAAGACGATATTAAATTTATACTTTGCTACTCAGTATGAGTTGCAAAGTTTTCAAGAATCTTAGTGCTAAATTGTTATATTTTTGTCACCGACTGCAAAGTCCCATATATGCAAAGAGCTATTGGCTATTACAAAGAAATAGCATTCGTTGTGGTTTATTGCAGTAACAAATTACGTAAAGATGTTGAAAGTTGCTAATGGTGAAATTGCTACTGCGTCTGTATCAATGATCTTCGGAAATTCGAAGGATTTATGTCTATGGTGATTCTTGATCTTGCACAGCATGTCACTACAGCATGTCACTTTGTTTTTCATGCATGGTGCCCAATGTCACAAGTTTTTCATTGATACCTTAAATAATAACATGCTGAAAATTGAAAGTGTCCCAGAGCTGTTTTCAAACCATGAAGAGGCTGATACACAATTAATCCTGCATGCACAACATGCTTCTACAATGCACAGCAACGTCACAATCCGAAGCCCTGACACAGATATTTTTATTCTGATGTTGGCCCATCAAGTTGAAATCAGATTTTTGCTATTTTTTGACACTGGTTCTGGGAACAACAGAAGGCGTATTGACATCAATGAAGTAACACCCTTTGGTTTTCATGCTTTTGCTGGTTTGCATATTTTGCAAGTGTTTTTATTGGAATGATTATTAAAACTTGGAATAATCGTTTCTCTTAATAATCGTTTCTCTGACAGATGTTTTGTTGTGGCTGATGAAGAAAACAAACTATGTAATCAGGAAAAATGCAAAAGACGACATGGCCTGACAGTCGCAAGTTCCACAGAAAATGTCAGAAACTTCAATTGTGACCACATTCAAATGATCAACAGTAATGTTCAAAATTGTAAACATGATTTATAAGGGTTTCAGAAACTCAGGTATATACTTTAGTAGATCACTAGCAATGCAAAGCAGCACACTTCTTCCTCTTTCTTAAAATAACATAAAATTTTAAAAAAAAGAAAATTAAATTATACTAAAAAATTTAATTGAAAATTCACAATAGGTTAATTTAAACAGATTAAAATATAAATTTTTAGTTAATTACTAATATGTCTTTTAATTCCATTGAGGAAACGCCAATCACTGCAACCAAATAATAATAGAACCATATTGACACCTCGGTTTATTTGTTACCATAACTATCCAGTCTAGCTGTCTTGGCTCTCTTCTCTTCCCACCTTTGTTTAACCAGTGGTGCGATGTGAGAATCCATTCTGTGGCATAGTTCGGTGAGCCTCCGTTGCCAATTACAAAAACGAAAAATTTAAAAGTCTCTATGTCATTCATAGGTTTCTTCCAGAACACAAACACGAGTTCCCAAGGCCAGTGTTTAATTGGGTGGAATATGTCTTGATCAAATAAAGTAAGCAAAGAAATTTGCTGTTCGATTATTTCGGATTGTGACTCATGTTTGAATTGATTGTGGTTGAGTTGCAGGAATAGATTATGTGCCATGTTGGTTGGATGGAAATCTATAGGTTATGAATAATAGGTAAATTATGTTGTGTCTGTATTAATGAGAATGAGAAAACATTCATGGTGAATGAGAAAACATTGAAAAGAGAGTATGGAGGGAAAGATTGGATAGTTTTGCACAAAAACCTGGGTGCTTTAAGGAAAGATGAATAAACCAAAACCACAGCATGTTGAAGCTACTGTGGTATTGTCCTTGTTATGTTTTTCAAAAGAGAAACAGAGTCATGATATCATCAGGTTCCAAGCATGACAAGGGAGGCGTGTTTCTAACAACACACCCATTTGGAAGTCATATTAAGAGGAGGGTGAATGGCTTTTAAAATGATAGCTTAGACTGTATACTGGTTGATTTATAAGGGAGTAATTATAAGCTCTCTGTTTTAAGTGGGTAAAAGATATATATTAGCTACAATTGTATTATCGTATTAATTATAAGACAAATTGTAGCTAGGATGTATAATATAGCATGTACATATGAATTCACATAAATAAAACTATATATTAATTACTTGTTTTTATGGTTTTAATATGGGGGGGCTTGATGTATATTCGTAAAAATAAAAAAGGGTTAATACTAAGCCGGAAAGCCCCAAAGTGAGAAATTGTAAACAAATATCAGCTAAACGAATTATATCAAATATTAATTAAAAATTACTTAAACAAACGTTTTGTGCATAAAAGTTTAGTTGTTTGTCGTCCGGCCACTGACGAGATTTTCACATGCTTACAACTCTTTACAACTTTGTTTTACAACTTTAATTTTAGTTAGTGTAGTAAGTGGTAGTCATGGTAACGAGATTCATGTTCGAGCACTGGGTACGAGTTGTTAATTTTCAAAATGACACCGAAAGTGAACACATGGAATTAGAAGGAATTGCCAAAAAAATATTGATATAACATCATGTGGGCATGGATTGCAGATTGAAATAAAAGTGATCATAACACAAGACTAGTGTGGCAAATGGTATGTAAAAAACATGTATATTGTTTTGAATATCTCAAAATCCGACCTAACACACAAAACGCTAAAACATCACAATGTAATATTAAACCAAGATCATACAAACTCCTGCGCAATAAAAAATATTACCTCGTTCTTGCAAGGATTTATTATAATACATCTTGAATATTATGTTTTATATGTATCTATTGTAATATTGGAAGGCACCAAAATCATGTGCTCTGTAAAAATGCTACGTGGTATAGTGAACCCATCTGTTTGAAATGATCAATATTAATGTTTGTAATTTTATTTAATGTTTGTAATTTTATTAAATTTTAAATAACATGTGTAATCAATATGAAAATAAGTTCTAATATATGAACAAATAAGTATATGTGTTAATGATCAACTATATATAAATGTATAAATTGAAAAGTGCATATCAAAAGGAAATTGAAAACATATATCAGGGTATAAATTACATATAAAAAACCCTGAAGATCTCCAGTGAACAGCTATGATACATCTTCTCATGGTGGGTATGTAATATTCTTAATAGCCAGACTCTAGCATGACATGTTGGTATATGTGATTTTTAGACCTTTTGGCATGATTTCTATTGAGAAAATTCTAATATTTCCTGTATTTCCATGGTTTCAAACCATAGACATGATAATTTTAATTATGAGAGTATATCAGTCTTATTATTTGAAAATTGCCAGGGTGCATTCTGTGTATAAAAAACTCGAACGTCTCCGATGTGGAGTCATGAGCAGTATAATATATTGTCCAAAGATGTAATTTTCAGACGTTTAAATCTAATCTAACATTTCAATATAAGTAAATTTGAACATTTCATGCATTTCCATGGTTTGAAATAAAAATATAATCGTCTCTTAATTATGAAAATATCTCAACCATTATAAATTGTTAATTGCTTTAGCATAGTAAAATATGCCTTAACGTACACTTAAGTTTTATAGATTATTTGGAATGCACTCTGGAAAATAAAGGAAATATAATATATAAATACATAGCTTATAATTTTGCATGCAATGTTTTGTTGGTCAGCAGTATAGTATATAGCTTAGTAGAGTTACAGTAAGTTTTGTTAGATTAGGGATATGCTTGTTATGGTATTTGTTAAGTATGTGCTACAATATTTTGTCAATTCTTGTATGTTTGTTGTATTTGGTCGAGTAGTAGATTGTAGTTGAGTGTTGTCGTTCATGTTTGTTTGTTTGTTTTTGTCTATGTTCATGTCCGTTATAAGAAAGGAAAGGAAAAGAGTTGTTTTGTATAAGTTTGAGAGGGTAGTCAATTGCTGTAAGTCGTAATGTGAAAAGTTTCTTAATAAAATTAATATCGTCAAAAGTCAAAGAGAATCGCTGTATCTGTATCTATCACTGAGTCTGCTGTATCGTATAATTTCTGTCTTGACAAGCCTGTTAAAGATGTGATGTGGATGGTTGGATGAGTAATGAGGAGGGTACATGTATTTATGATGTCAGTAGAGTTATAAAAATTAAATTCGCTTGAAAGTAAAACTAAATCTGCCATTTGTCTGTTGTGGTAACTGCCCATTGCTATCCTTTGTGTTTGTTAGTATATGTCGTCTCCTATGGTAAAAAAGTTTCAGTTGTTAATAAAATTGTTCACGTTAAGTAAAAAGTATCGGTAAAAGGTAGAATGTTTAAGTAATTCACAGCTCTTAATTATAGTGTTGATGGTGTCTTGAAAAGTAATGTTGGTGTATAAAGAAGAAAAATCAAAAGTAGTAAGTTTAAAATTGTTAATGTCTGTAATGTGCTGTTGTTGTAATATGTCAACAAGCTCTGAAGAATTATAAATTAAAGAAAATCGTTTATCTTGAGAAATATAAAGGTTTTTAAGTTGTAAAATAATATTGTCTAATTCTGTACCAAATAGTTTTGAAACGTTTGAAGTAGTCCAAGAGTGAACGGTAATGATTGGTCGGCCAGTTAATTGATTAAGGTTGTCAGGAGAAGCAGGAGAGGATAGTTTGTGTACTTTGGGAAGAGTCTCACTAAAGTCCATTTGGAACATCTTGTTCACCTTCTCAGTAAAGGTATCATCCTCAAACTTGAATAAAGAAGGAACTCACTTCGTTCACAGATGCACTCTCCATTGGACCAGCGACTGACCAGCCAAGGGGCGTTCTAATGGCATATGGCTCCTTCATACGACCTTGCGTGATATCTATCGGCTGTCCGTTCGAGTTCAATTCTTCGACTAGACTCTCTTTCACAAAGTGGTATTTGAACCTTTGTCTCTTATCACATAAGTTATCTTCTCACAACTTCTATCTTTCCCAAACA